ATAGAGAGGAAGGTAGAGAAAAATCCTGTCTACACAGTCGCTCTATTTGTCTGGGAACAAGTGCCTGATGTATTAGTCTGGGCTTGAATAATAGTCCCCGGAGCTACTTCAGAAGGTTCAGCGGCAACTGGCTTGCTGAAATTGTCCAAGTTATGAGCCTCCAAGAAGGAATGTATAGCTGTACAGAATCCACGAGTCCACAAAGGAACATTGGGATCTCGGGGGATAGATCTCTTGCTGGAACTAGGCTTTTTGCCCTCTCTTCCCGTCTTGGGAGGATTCGCTTCACTTGTACCTTTTCTGAAATTTTTTGCTCTTATCTGTCAGGGTGGCCTATTTCTTCCAGCTACTTTTGGTCTAGCCATATCCACAAAACATCGGGAAAAAGTTAGAAAATATCTCAACAAAAACATAGAAGTTCAGCTGTAGGAAAACTCCACCGAACCAGTTGGCGAAACGCGCAACCATTTGGGCGATTCGCCGAGTGCAGTGCACAGAGGATACAAGGGTGCATACAAAGGGTGAACAAGAGGTCTTTCGGTGAGACGCTGAATGCGTTCGGCGACATCAGGCTTCTCACCAAAAGTTACAAAATTAACAACACATTTATCATTAAATTAAAGGCTAGATGGGGACGTTAGGCGAACCGCCGAGTGGTTCGGCGAGCTCAACCTAGCTCACCAAACGGCTCAACGTACCTATTTTCAACCCATTTCTCAAATTCAACCCCGCAACCCCCGAAAGAAAAATCAAAATATGCAATAGTAAAATTAGGCTCAGACCCAACGACACTTATGCATAATCTATGATTTTTCATCCACTATAAGGCACAATTTTCAAGGATCAACTATTTAACTCAGTATGATCAATATTATCGAATCAAAGCAAGCAAACAAAAATTCTAATCCTATAAGAGAGAACCAACACACATTATCGAAGTAATGTCATTGCATTTGAGCACAACATTTAATAAAAGGAACTTAGGACTCGGACACCAACCTTAGACGCCGATTAAGATGCTACTAAGTTGCTAGGCGGCAACACAATCCAGATTCGAGCACAATTCAACAACCAAAATACAATAGAGATGCAACGATATTGAAAATAAAACTAGGTGTGAGTTTGCAAAGCTTGAAAAGGACGGAGAGCGTAGGAAATTGAAACTTTTAAACCTTTGGCTTGAAAAATCGTCCAGTTTTTTACCACTCGGCGACATTAGTCGTGAGCGCTGAACCATTCGGCGTCACGTCAAGCAATCACATTCTTCGCCAATTTTTACCGAATCCCCAGTTAATTGGGGAGTCCAAATGGCGGTCTCCGCCAGGATCGCCGACATGGTCTGCGATTCGCCAGTAATTTCATATGCTCGCTGAGTTTTATAGACTCCAATGTAAGTTGGACTTGAGTCTAATGGCGGTCTAGTTCATGGTCGCCGAACCGTTCGGCGAATCACTGATTGGACCTGTTGCTCGCCAATCTGCACTTTTCGATCACTTTCCACACTTCCATCTGCACAATCAACACACCATTATTTTATCAAAGCAACATAAAGCAATAAAGGGTTTTGGGTTGCCTCCCAAATAGCGCCTTAGTTAACGTTGTGGCACGACGCGGAAGTGACTTCAAGCATCTTCCAGATATACCACATCGACCAAAGAAATCATTTGACATTCCCCAAAATATAATTTCAAATGTTGACCATTCACTTTAAATGTAGGTCCCTCTTGATCTTCAACTTCTATGGTACCATTGGTGAACACTCGCGTTACTCTAAAAGGTCCAGACCATTTGGATTTGAGCTTTCCGGGAAAGAGTCTAAGTTGAGAGTTGTATAGCAACACCCACTCTCCTACCTTAAAGTCCCACTTGAGTATTTGAGCATCATGCCATTTCTTCATCTTCTCGTACTTTTTGACCCTGTCTCCTAGGGACAGTTGAACTAGCGACTCGTGAATGCTGCCAGGTTGGACGAGCCAATAACTTGAAGGCGTTCGGTCTACTTTTTGAGCAAGAATCACAGCCTTACCTTATATTCACCATGATAAGCACCGAAAGTAAGAGAAATGAGGGTGTTCGGGACCTATTCTAGTAGAGGAACCAACCCCGAAAACCTTCTTTGGTGTCAAGGTAATAGCTATGAATAGTTATTAAACTTTCATAAGATTTGAGTCTAAATTCATCCAATTCGTTCAATTGCTCTACCCTTCCCCTTGAAGTTTTTGACCAGTCCAAATTTAAAGTTTTCAATGCCCACAATCCTTTATGTTCCAACTCGATGGGCAAATGACAAGCCTTACCAAAAACCAATTGATATGGGGACATACCAATAGGTGTTTTGTAAGCGGTCCGATATGCCCATAGTGCATCATCGATCTTCCTAGACCAATCAGTTCTATTGGAATTCACTCTCTTTGCCAAGATGTTTTTGATCTATTGAATTGATACCTCGACCTGGCCATTTGTTTGGGGATGGTATAGGGTTGCTACTTTGTGTTTCACTCCATATTTGCTCACTGCCATTGAAAACCACTTATTGCAAAAGTGGGATCCCCCATCACTAATAATTGCCCTAGGAGTGCCAAATCTTGCAAAGATGTAACATTTCAAGAATTGGACAACACTTTTTCCTTCGTTGTTTGGAAGTGCAATGGCTTCCACCCATTTGGAAACATAATCTACAACCACCAAGATATATTTATTTCCAAATGAGCTCACAAATGGGCCCATGAAATCGATCCCCCATACATCAAATAGCTCGACCTCTAAAATATGAGTGAGAGGTAGTTCGTGTCCTCTAGACACTCACCTTGTTGTTGACATTGAGAGCATTTCTTCGCAAATTCATGTGCACCCTTGTAGAAGGACGACCAGTAATATCCACTTTGGAGAACTTTAGCGGACGTGCGAATACCACTATGGTGACCTCCTACTGGAGATGCATGACAAGCATGGAAAATTTCTACCGCTTCTTTTTCAGGAACACACCTTCTAATGACATAGTCAGCACACTCTCGAAACAAGTATGGTTCATCCCAAAAGTATTTTTTAACATCGAACATGAACCTCTTTTGTTGGTAAAAGGTCAACTTATCCGGCATCAGTCCACTCACAATGTAATTTGCAAAATCTGCATACCATGGTGTATGTTTGAGAGATATTGCAAACACCTGTTCATCGGGGAAGGAGTTGTCTATGTCGACCTCATGCTCAACATCTCCTTCCAACCTCAATAAGTGATCATCCACTTGATTTTTGCAACCTTTTCGATCTTTTAACTCAAAATCAAATTCTTGTAATAGTAGCACCCAACTTATGAATCTTGGTTTTGCATCTTTCTTTGCCATCAATTAACAGAGTGCAACATGATCAGTATGTACGATTACTTTGGTGCCTAGAAAGTATGCCCAGAACTTTTCAAATGCATAGATTACCGCAAGCAACTCCTGTTCAGTGACCGTATAATTTTGCTGGGCATTATTTAGAGTCTTGCTTGCATAATAAATTGGGTGAAATAGTTTGTTGCGCTTTTGCCCCAACACTACCCCCAATGCCATACCACTAGCATCACATATTATTCGGACCAATTAAGGCTGATGATAATCGGGGTGGATACTAGTTTCTCTTTCAAACACTGAAAGGCAACCATACAGGCGTCATCAAAATAGAACTTCGCTTCCTTCTCCAAGAGTTTGCATAATAGGTGTGCAATCTTTGAGAAGTCTTTAATGAACCTTCGGTAGAACCCTGCATGCCCCAAGAAACTGCAAACACTCTTCACTAAAATCGGCGGGGCTAGTTTCTCAATAACCTCAATTTTTGCCTTGTCAACTTCCAGACCCTTTTGCGATACCTTGTGCCCGAGAACAATCCCTTCCTTCACCATATAATGACATTTCTCCTAATTCAGAACCATATTTGTTTCCATGCATCTTTGGAGCACTTGACCTAAGTGTGTCAAGCATTCTTCAAGCGTATCCCCTACGACTGAGAAGTCGTCCATGAATACCTCCATAGAGTCTTCGACCATATCCATAAAAATAGACAACATGCAACGCTGAAATGTCGTTGAGGCATTACATAACCCGAATGACATCCTTTTGAATGCAAATGTTCCATAAGGGCAAGTAAAAGTGGTTTTCTCTTGGTATTCAGGTGCAATAGAGATTTGATTGTAGTCGGAGTACCCATCTAAAAAACAATACCACCCCTTTTCCGATAACCGGTCAAACATCTGGTACATGAAAGGCATTGGAAAGTGGTCCTTTTCGGTCCATGAATTAAGTTTTCGATAGTCCATGCATACTCTCCACCCAGTCACTGGTCTAGTCGGAATGAGTTCCCCCTTTGCATTTGGGACTACAATGATACCTTCTTTTTCAGTACACATTGTACCGGGCTTACCCATTTACTATTTGCAATCGGGTAGATTACTCTCGCATCTAACCACTTGATAATCTCCTTTTTCACCACCTCTTGCATTGGTGTGTTCAATCTCCGTTGATGTTCCACACTAGGTTTACATTCATTATCAAGCCGAATCTTGTGCGTACAGATACCAGGAGGAATGCCCACTATATCAGCTATGGTCCATCCTATAGCTTTTATATGCTTTTGAAGTACTTCAATGAGCAATTTCACCTGCCTTTCAAGCAAGTCAGCTGCGATAATAACTAGTAAAGTATTATTGGCTCCCAAGAAGGCATATTTGAGATGAGAGTGTAGTGCTTTTAACTCTAGATTTGGCGGTTCCTCAGTTGATGGCTTTGCAGGAGGACTTTCTCTATTTTTTAGGTCGATATCTAGCTTGATTGGATTCCTTGAATATACTCCTAACCCCGATAAGGCAACTACCACTTCATCATAGCCTTGAACTTCGGATTCATCATAATTAGCAAGCACAGATTCAAGAAGTTCATTCTTTCGCATCAAATGGCTCACACTTGCCACCACCTCATCTATAACATCCTCAGTAGACACCACATAGATATCGCTTGGTTGTTTCATGGATTGCAAATATTGAAGGTTACCTCATCATCGTTCACTCGGAACTTCAATTTCCCGCTTTCGACATTCACCAATGCCATCGTAGTTGCTAAGAATGGCCTTCCCAGAATAATGGGGATTACAACATCGATCTCACAATCTAAAATCACAAAGTCAGCCGAAAAGATGAATCGATCTACTTTTACCAAGATGTCATAGAGTATCCCCACTGGGTGTTTGATTGATCGATCCTCCATAAAGAGTCTCATTGTGGTTGCCTTTGGTTCACCCAAACCAAGTTGCTTGAATATTGCATAGGGCATCAAGTTGATGCTTGCTCCTAAATCGTACAAAGCTTTAGCGAATTGGAGCATGCTAATAGTGCATGGGATAGTGAATGCCCCAGGATCTTCTCTCTTAGTGATTAACTCTTTTGTCATAATTGCGCTGCAACTATGGGGCACTTCAATAGTTTTATAGTCCAAGTTCCTTTTATTTGTAACTAATTCTTTCATGAATTTGGCGTATCCCGGTATTTCCAACAATGCTTCCACTAGAGGAAGGTTAATTGATAATTTCTTGAACACTTACAAGAATTTTTTGAACTTCTCATCTTCATTCTTCCTTTTCAAGCGTTGGGGAAATGGTGGAGGTATTTTGAGTAAATGCTACATAACTTTTGGAACTTGAACATGTTGCTCCGCTTCCTCCTGTGGTTCTTTGGTAAGGTTTTGTTGAATAGGTAATTCTTGTTCTTCCATACCTTGGCTTTCGTCATTCTTTTGAGGATCCTCATCTTCTATCGCATTCCCTATTGCCACCTTTTCGCTATGGGTAACTACAACCAGCCCTCTTTCATTATCTTCCATCAGTGTTTTGGACGTTAATTGAGCTGATAATAGATTCAATTGACCTTCCAGCATTTTGATGGCATCAACATGAGAATTCACTTTACTGTTTAATGATAAAAAGTCATCTTTCATCCCCTTTAGCAAATCATCAGAGCCCTCAACTTTATCAAGTATGCGTGACAATAAATGATTTACCCGAGGACTACTTGCACTCTCTTTAGATTTCGAGCCTTCACTCAAGTGAGTATGGTCCTTCTCATGATCATCTTGCTCAGCCCAATCTTGTTAACATCTCCTTGGTTCTTTACCATTGTAATAGTTCCAACCTTGATTTCCGCCCCATTGTTGATAGCGTGGGTGGAAACCCTCCTCATATCTTTTGGAGTTCCAACCTTGATTCTCCCCCGATCTTGAGTAACCGAGAGAAAAAGCCTCCTAAACTCGAAATACTCCATGTGTCCCCTTCATGTGTTCTTGTATAATTTCCATTTGAGACAACATCTTTTTGATGTTTTTGTCTCTCTCCTTCTTTTTATCGATTTGTTCTTGCGTTAATCTGAAGCACATTGGTGAAACTTGATCATCTTTGGTGTACAATGCTTGGTTTACTTTAGTCATAACATTATTCATCCTTGCACCAATTGATCAACTATCCCTTTATTAACCGAGTCCAGACTACGGTAAAAGTATTGGAGAAATAATTCACTTAGCAGTCCATGCGTTGGGCACTTTCGCAAAAATCTATTGAACCTTGTCCATGATTTGTGAATTGGTTCGCCTTCCTTTTGCTTAAAATTCTGGATGTCGTCCCTCAGTTTCATCATTCTTGATGGAGGAAAGAATCTTTCGTGAAAGGCCATAACCAACTCCTCCCATGACTTGATGAAGTTGTTTGGAAGCTCGACCAACCATTTAGTAACTCCCCCGGTCAATGATAATGGAAATAAGCGAAGCCGTATGAATTCTTGCATAGATTCTTGAATGATAAATGGGTGCACACTTCCACAAAGCTTCTTATATGTTCGTGTGAATCTTTATGCTCTAACCCTCTATATAAACCTCTTGAATGTATGAGCCGGAGTGTCGCGCTAGCAACTTCAAACATTGCATTTCTGTCGGCTTGTGGCATGCGAATTGCACCCATCTCACCCACGTGGCTAAGGTTATAAACACTATTAACATCATCGATGTTGTCTCGATGGAGAGCACATCCACTGGATGGCCTGCTTGGCAGCTATTTTCCCCGTTTGCACTCATATGTCCTGTTGTGACACATAAAAAACTGAAAGTTAAGTGAGTACTACAACTATCAAGAACAAAAATTCTACTAATTTAAGAATTGTCAAATAACACCACTCCCCGGCAGCGACGCCATTTTGATGTTTGCGTAATCAAGTCAAAACTTCCAATGCAAGTGTCTACGATCGTACAATAGTAAAGTAACCCAACCAAGGGTTAGGGTCGAGTCCCAAGGGAGTGGGCTTGAGACTTAATAGAAAAATAAAATTAAGTTCTAATTAGTCATACCTAAAAACATTATCGAATATAAACATGTTAAATATAAGGGGTGACGCAAGCGTCAATTATCAATGGGGGTTTGTGACAAGTAAGCAAAAACAACAAAAATGCAAAGAGTACTAATCAAGGAGAGAGAATTCTTGGGATGTGAAAGGAATACGAGATATACTAAACTATTGGGTACATGCTTTTGATAATAAATCCGTTGAATATTTGTGACTAGGTTAGACTATAATAGGGGTAAATTCTCTCTTGAGCAACTTACCCCGAATCAACTCAGTTTATCTCGAACACCGAGTTGCCGCATGAAGAAAAACCTCCGCCTTAGCCTACTCATTCTCTCGATCTGAGTGTGTGGGAGAAGGACTAGGGTTCACTCTCTCGAGCTGAACCTCACGTCGATCCAATCCCACCGGCCATCAATTTAGTAGTCTTAGTTTTACGACCTCTCTCTCGAGCAAGCCAAAAACACAAAGGTGAAATCGTATTTGCAACTACAATTTCATTAAGTTCCACTACAACTACTAAATGAAATCACATTTACATAACAAATAAACCATCAACAAGCAAGACACAATAGATAATCTAACCCATATTCACAAAATCACACCCCAAGAATTGGGGTTTTAGCTAAACATGTAAAAAAGATAGAAATTTATACCAATATGAGTTTGCATTCAAATGAGTATGAAGATTTAAGTCTCAAAATAAGCAAAGAGTGAAGAATCCACAAGACCCAAGTCCAAATTCTCGGAGTTGAAACCCTTTGAATCTTGAAGTTCTTCAAAACCCTCTCCAAACTTAGAACTTAAAATTCAATGATAAAAATTTCTATATTAAAAATTTGATGTTAAGCTACAACTCTCAACGAGTATTTATAGTTTTCAAAAATCTGTGCTGCAGCGGATCATTCGGTGTAGTTAGTCGAGATCGCCGATCAACTCGGCGATCCGCCCTTTGGTAGGTTTCATCGTCGTCTTGCTCTATCCTTCAGCATCGTCGTGCTTTGGATCATTGGGTGACATAGTACTACTTTGTGAAACTGCTTGGCAACACGCCGACTGCTCCTTTTCGTCGCCGATTTGATCCTTTCTTTCAGGGTTCAGCACACTGGAACAAAAGGTGAGGATAAGACCTTTTTACGACTCACCGAATGGGTTCGGCAATTCTCAGATCTTCATTTCTTTGTTCTTTCAACTGCCTTTGTTCCATTTTTGCTAAGTAGTGTCCATGCTTTCCCTCAAACTCCAAATACCCGAAACTTAAGGGTTTTCATCAAATGTTGAGATAAAATATGCATTTGAGGACACTAATTCTATCAAAATATATCCCTAAATAAGTTCAATTTGTGGACTCATCAGTGCTATTGATGATGTTTTTTTTTTGTCTTCTTCTTCCTCTTTTTAGTGGAGGCTCACCTTCTGATGGTGTTAATGGAGTTTTCTATACATATAAAGAAATAGTAAGTTATAAATTAAGAAAAAGTAAAACAAGTTCAAAAATTACCTTTGGTTTGCCTCTTCCCCTGCCTGAACCTATTGGTTCTGCCCTTACTGATGCAATAGGTGATGGTGCACTATGTTTTGTTGATGACTCAACACCTTTTGTTTGAGGACACCCTCTCTTGTTATGGCCTCTGACATACATCTACTGCAGGTCATTGCAAGTCCAGTCCTAGGAAGCTTCCCAAATTTCTTAGTTTCTCCAACTTTTTTCCTTCTAGCCTTAGGTGGCCTACCAGGCATGTTTGTGATTTCTGGTGGCTTAATAGTGGGGTTTGTAGAAACTGGTCACATATCCATGTTTGTGAGTGGTTCAATAACATTGGCATAAGTCCTCAAGTAATTTTCTTTACTGTAGCAGTTGACTATATAGTCATAAAGAGAAAACTTCTTAAAGTATAATGCAGCCACAACATGTGGACATGTATGCCCCTTAACTGTCATATCCTACAACTACAAGTTCTCCTAGCAATATCCACTTTGTGTTGACAAAGCCCTTATTTCACTTCAAATCCAGCAACTCCATTAAACTCAATGGTACAATCCATAGACCTACTAATGTTCTCCTCTAACACCTTCAGAGTCATCAGAGAGAAATTACTCTTCCAAGTACTTAGGAACTCCCTTAAATTGGCTATTCTTGTCATCATCTTCACTCTTATTTCTTCAAGCATAGTAAGGATGGTCTTGTGTCTAGTAGCCAAGATCCATGCATTAAAGTAAACTTTGCACCAATAATTAATGTTGTAGTACATTAAGTTATCCATCATTTTTACTGACCTAACAACTTCATCTTCTTTATATTTTTCCTTAATTGAGACTCAAATGTACTATTAGCTACCTTCCAAAATTGTTGTCTTCTTTGAATACCCCTCCAATCCTTAGCCCAGTTAGCTAATGTGTGCCTAACACACATTTTATGTTTACACTTAGGTAATACATCTATAGTTGCTGCATATATTCCCTGCAATAGATATAATTAGGTCACAATTACATATATAAATTAAAAATTATAAAATAAGCTTACACACCTTCTGCATATCAGTAATCAAGGTGAGACCTTCACATCTCCAAGTCCTAGATCATCCCTTATGCACTTGACAAACATGGTCCATGAGTTTTTGTTCTCCTTTTCAACTACTGCCCAAGCAAGTGGCATCATATGATTTTTACCATCATTGGCCACAACAATTAATAGTTGACCTTTACAAACACTTTTAAGGAAACAACCATCTAAGCCTATGCACTTCTTACAATGTATCCATGCCTTCCTTAAAGCATCAAAACATATGTAAAAATTCTGAAATATTGATTTGTATTTTGCATCAGGTTCACCAACTTTTACAACACAGCTGATCCCTGGATTGGTCCTTAACACTTCATCCTTGTAGTCAAGTATTCTTCCAAATTCCATAACATGATCACCCATTATATCTTTCAACACTTTAGCTCTTGCTCTTCTCACAGTAGTATTGCTAATATAAAGTTTAAAATTTTTCCTAATCATCTCTTACAACTTGAAGACTCTTATGTTTGGTTGCTCAGTTATTCTTTCTCTGAAGGCTTGAGATAAAAACTTTGCATTGCACAAGTAATTTCTAGTTGTCTTGTTACAAGTATGCTTTGGATTGTAAGTTTTTATCATGAAATTATTTGTTGTCTTGTCAAGGCATCCGTACAAAAGTCATGGACAACCATCTTTGCATCTAACTCTAGCTTTGTTTGGCTCATTCACCCACTTCTCCACCTGAACCCTCCTTCTAACTACATATTTAGTTACTGTTTGTCTAAATTCTTTCACATATTTAGACACCATACCCAACAACCACACAACTTTCTTTGCAGTAGGATCATGAATGATTTTTTGAGTTGTTGTCCTCCTCTTTCTTGACAACTTTACTATTCTTGCTCTACCAGATTCATGTTCATCATCATCACAACACTCATCTTCATCTAACTCAAAACAATCCTCATCAGAACTTGCAAAGTAAGGCTCATCACCTCCTAGCCTTCCCTCATGACTCACTTTACCTATTCCAGTTTCATCAAAACCTTGATCTGGTCCATCTTCACCTACTGGTACCTCTTCATTGTCAGCTGATACTCTTTCCCTTCTTTTCCACCTTTGAAAAGCTCTATGTTCAGCCCTCAACTCCCTAACCTTCTCATGTACATCACTACCATAATTTTCCTCCTCATCTTCTCCAATTAATTCAGCTTCAAACTCATCATTATTCTCAGTTGAATAATCAGAATCCTCTACTTCTTCTTCTTAGAAATCAGGTCCAGCAGGACCAACATCTATATCATCATCTCCTATAACATATGAAGTAGCACCATATGCAGTATTGAAAGGAGGTGAGGTTGAAAAAGTAGCAAAATGGTTCTTACTGTTTAAATGGTCTTCACCTACCCCAAAGTTAAAGTTTTCGCTCTCACTAGTCCTTGTATTAAAAGCTGAACCAGATTCTCCCATATCCACATGACCAGGGGCGGAGCCACCTTGTACGAAGGGGGTTCGTCGGCGGAAAATTATATTAATTATATATGGTTAAAATATATTTTTATGTATATATAGTAGATGTCGAGCCCCCTTCAGCTACTTCGTGTGTCTATTTCTACATATTTTGAACCCCCTTATTGAAAATCCTGGCTCCGCCACTGCACATGACTATCATTTTCTATTAGCATGGACCCTACAATTGGCTCATCAACCAAATGCTTAACAAATACCTCCACTACATCCCCATCTTCCAATGAACACTTCATGTCTAAAATATCCTTATCATCATTAACATCTACCAAAATGTCACTGTTACGTGCTTTAATACTAAAGGTGCAGGTTGTACTATATCTCAATTCTCTAATATGGTCTCTCAAATCAAAATATGACATTTTATCTACATCAACATCCAAAAATTATGTAATTTTTCTACCATTATATATTGGTTCCTCACTAGTTAAATCTAACACCCCACCATGGTACCACCTTAGAGTAATCACAGTAATCCATACATGTCTTACCCGAAGGCAATCAAAATAACAAAATAGTAATTATAGACATACTCTTACTTGAAGGCAATAAAAAATTAGAATAATACTTATAAACATATTATCATTGTAGCATTATGAACATAATACTAAGACGAACATAAATACAACATAGTAGCATTAGCTTCTCTATGAACATAATACTAAGACCAACATAAATACAACACTCCATGAACATAATATTAAGACGAATATAAAATACAAAATTACGCGACTTAGACGAGAAAGGGAAAAGCCTAATTTCATAAAAATTGTGGTATAGTATGGTGTAAATGAACACCTAACACTACAATCGTAAGCCACACATAATATTTCACACAATGTTGCTCTTAATTTCACGAATCAACAGAAACCCTAAGGGATAAAGCACAAACTCAAAATAATGGATAAAGAAGTAACCTTTTACTAAATCAGTTGATAAACTACGAAATCAAGTAGAAAATACATTAAAAAAAATCCTTCGATCATCACCAGAAATGTATATGCAAATGGAGAAGGAGATGAAAAGGAGAAAGGACAATTTTTGGGTTTTTTACATTTTTAGGAGGGAAATGGAGAAAAAACAAGAATCGGGGGTTGAAGTGGGTGGGGCACCCGGCCCGTGCAATCACGTGGGACAATTTATTTGGTTTATGTGGACAGGGCAGCACTCAACTGTGTAGTAAATAGAGAAATAAAATGTTCAAGGGTGATAGGACACCCGTGAAGTTGGAGTGTGTAGTTGAGACCATTTCCTCCCATTCATATAAAGCAATTTCATTGTCATCCTTTTTCTTTTTCAATAGGTATAAGTGAGCAAACTTTAAATGTCCTAGAACTGTACTCGCGCAAGAGAAAAATAACTAAAGAAAAGTTATCATCAACCAACACATACAAAGTCTCTCAATTATTCATGGATCAAATGATTAATTTGCATCAAAATGGAAGAAGAGAGGAAGACAACATATGGTTATGAAGCAAGAATGCGATAGAAATACTTTAAAATTTTGTACAATTAGTTTTTTTCAAGTATTTTAGCTTATAGTACCATAATTGTCTTTTCCGTCAACAAATGATCTGTTCACATAGTTAGCGTTTCTTAATAAGTAGATCAAAATCGCTATTAATTGAACATTAAATGTTCACAGTCAAATATCACGGGGACTAAAAAGTGAAATTAGGTAATAATACAGGGACTAAAAACGCCGTTTTAATGCACCGTGGTTTCCCGCCAGAGAATAGAGTGAGTTGGGTGATTTTGGGTTCCATTTCCTCTCTGCTCATTACTAGTACTTTGACTAAAATGGCGTCTTCTTCATCCAAAACCCTAATGGATCTATCGAAGCAACCAGCAGCAAAGCGTCTAAAACAGGTGTCTTCTACCGATAACTTCACTTCTAGCGCCTTGTCATCTTCATCTTCGCGTAAAGACTGTGACGAAGACCCCAAAGACGTAGTATCCTTTACGCCGGAGCAAAAGTCGAGAATGGAGTTCAACAGATCACTCGCAAAGGCCAAAAGAAACCTCAAACTATGTTCTGATAAAATCTCCAAATTAAACGCAAACGGTCTGTTAAACAATGCTCCTTTTACTTTTATGGCAAAATTATTTTTGGTTCCTTAACTTTGTGTTACGACTGAGTTTTTTTTTTTATCCAAAAAGATCGCCATGCATTTTCAATACCACAAAAGGTTTCAAGGACCTCATTTTAGCTTCGTCTAGTAGTTTTTTTTTAAAAAAAATGTATAAAGCAAAACAAATTTCAAATAAGAAATTGACCAATTTATATTTCAACATAGTCTTTTGATGATGGTATTGTTGGTACAACTTGCACTCACCTCTGACTATTCCACCATTTTCATGCCATGACACACTAGCACATGTATTGGGTTACTTTGCCCACTAAGGACTTGTGCAAATATTTTCACATATTCTGGTTATAATCGTTCCAAATTAATAGTGGACAAGTAAATTGATGTGGCAAATTGTGTCTTATAATGTTTTGATTTTTGGACATAAATTTGTGCTACATGTATCCTTTTTGTTGTTCTTTAATGTTTGGATGTTGTTAAAAGATCTAAAAAAAGTTATTGAATTGGATTAATTTTAAAAATTATGTCAGATGTTTTGGACTATTTGATGGAAAGAAATTTAAGATGATTTTTAGACAAGTATAGTAATGTGCAGAAAGTTGAAATGTACTTTTTTTTCTATTTCATCTTTTTGGTGTAAAGAAGAACTCTTAGAGGATGCGGACACACTGATATCTTTTCATGCGGACACACTCAAGTATAAAAACTGAATGTTTTCTACTTATAATATTTATATTTTCATGCCAAAGAGCAATGTAGATCCTCAGTTTTAAAACTCAAAGTAAGATTGCTACTTACAGAGCCTTTGGTTAAACTACTTATTCCTTGCAAGGCACTGAAAAAACATCTCTTGTGTACCAATTGTTAGGTGAAGGGGGCGGATATGTGAAGTTACGGGAACTGTTGATTGAGGAGACATGGGTGGAAGCATTGCCAGGGGAATTTGAGAAGCCCTATGCAGGGAACTTGTGCAAATTTGTGGAAAAGGAAATTAGTGGTGGTGTCCCAATTTATCCTCCACTACATCTGATTTTTAATGCTCTTAACACTACTTCATTTGACAGGATAAAGGCTGTCATTATTGGACAGGTAGTGTTTCTAGTTTTTATGGTAGCATTCACATGTAACTAACAGTATGTTCTCAAGGAATCACAACCTGTATAAAATTGTTTTTTGTATTGAAAACTTTACAACCTTACCCAAAAAGGAGACGGTAAAATATTACGCAGTATGTGCACCTGTGATAATTAGTTTCTTTAAAATATTTACGCAGGATGTGCACCTGTGTTAATAAGTTAGTTTTGAAATGCAACCATCTAAAATATAAAAACCAAATTTCTCTTTTAAAATAAAATACACAAGTTGCTTTGCTTCTCTTTTGACATCTTCCTTACTGGAGCAATCTGGTATTTATTCATCTCAGATATCACCTTTAGGGGTCGTTTGGTATAGTGTATTAGCAAAAAATAATGCATGCATTAACTCTGTGTATTAGTAATACCTTGTTTGGTACAATTTTTTCAACACTATTATGTATTAACGTGTGTATTTCTAATACCATGGATTTTTAGGTTACATTAGCATGGTTAAAGAGCCCATTGCCCCTCATAATCTTTTTTACATCTTTTCTGCCATAATTGTGAAGGATATATTTGTAAATAAATATTTTTATGCAATGCATTCTATTCTTAATACACCAAACCAAACAATGCATACAAAATAATTTATGTATAATTAATACAAGCATTACTAATATACTCCATTTAGCATTATTCTTTTACAATCTACCAATGACCTTTTAGGAATTTGGTAATGAAGCTACACTTTTTGGAAATATTTTAGCCTTTGCTGGAAGCATTTTTCTAACTTACAGAAGCATCATCCTTTTTCAATGTGATTTCAGGATCCATATCATGGACCAGGTCAGGCAATGGGCCTCTCTTTCTCGGTGCCTAAGGGTGTGAAAGTCCCTTCTAGTCTGATGAATATATATAAAGAACTTAAAGAAGATTTGGGCTGTTCAATACCACTTCATGGAAATCTGGAACAATGGGCTGTGCAGGTGCTTCTGAACTTCTTGGTGGAACTTGTCATCTAGTTTATATGGGTTTCATATTAAAAAGAATTTCTACTGTGCTTTTCGTAAATCAGTTTATTTAGTCAAAATCAATGACTTGTTACCCTTACAATTTTCACTTTTGCAGTCATTTGTGACACATTTGACACATGAAGTGCTATTGAAGCATGAACCATCATTAAAACTACTACCATTTCTGATCTCTTTCACGTTAATTCATGGAAATCTATATTTGATATTTAAACAAAATGTGGCTGCATAATGTTTATGCCAGTTTTGTTCACTGAACCTACATGGCTACTTATAAGTCAGATCTTTACATTTCCTAATTATTGACCGTGTAACAAGCTGCAAATGATTGCAACTTTAATTTCCAATGTCAGCTAATCAAAGATCAATGTTCTCTTCTTTATCAACTGCCCATCATTTCTTTAAGTTGGGGCAAACTATTGAGTACATGGTTATCCAGTGGTTTCTAATGTAATAATGGTGGATCCTGACTTGGACCAAGTTGATATTTATGCAAGCTTATTTGATAGAAATACATAACAATCTGTAAATATCAGTTTATAACTTTATAAGTAGTTTGAAATCTGAAACGTGTCACTTTTGTACACTACTGGTGGAACATTTAGAACTAAACTGTAGCACAAAGATGTGTATCATAGAAGTTCTCAACTTACACCACTCCCCTGTAGCACTAGCTCACTTGCATACTTGAAAGCATGCTTGTTTCTTGTTAATGTAAGAAGGTTTTTATTTAGAGCATACCTAACCTAGATTTATACTTAGTTTGAGCTGGAAATTAGAGTAGTTCATGGTTCAATGTGGAATTTCTGTTAAATGAAACGATGCTTTCACATCAGCAAAAAATAACTTTGTAAACCTTGAGGTACTCCTCTTTATAAGTTGTGTTTGTTGAGTTCCAACATAGGTCATTTAGGGATGGAAAGATCTCTTTACATGGTCTTGGGCAATCCTCACCTAATGAGCTAGCTTTTGAGTTGAGTTAGGCCCAAACTCATTTTCTTATCATGGTATCGGAGCTAGACCCATCCCATTTCTTTTACTCGATGTTGGGCCCCAATATTATATTTTCCACACTCCGTTGCCAGGCCTGGGTGTGTGAGGGGGTGTTGATTGACTGCATCGGTCATTTAGGGATGGGAAGGTCTATTTATATGGTCTTGGGCAATCCTCACCTCATGAGCTAGATTTCGGGTTGAGTTATCCCAAAGTCCCTTTTTTTTTATCAGTGTTGACAACACTTATATAGACTTCATTTTTTCTTCCTTTAAGTAATTGTCTGACATACACCACATTGCTTTACAGGGCGTTCTGCTTCTCAATGCTGTTCTAACAGGTGAATTTGTGTCTTCAATGGTTTTATATATTTGGTCTGGACACGTTCCTTTTGGATTCGTTTATTCTCATATGCTTTTTAGGGCGATATTATTGCTATCGCGATGTGCTTGTGAAGATTAATAAGGAGATACTAACTGAAAGAATATCTCTGTATCTCTCTCTCTTCCTCTCTACATAAATCAATTAAGGTGTGTTTATTTATAAGATCTGAGAATTCGATTTAGGTAAAAAAAAAAGAAGAGAAAGTCATCATTAAGTCGGTAGAGAGGAGTGATTCTGAACCAATCTCAATGTATCTAGATGTTTGTTCAAGGTTTGAATTTGAAGGCATCTGACAAGTTTCTTAATGTACCAAGGTATCTCCTGCGATGTGAAATTTGCTGTATTTTGTAATCTTATTGTTAGACATCATATCTGTCATATTTCAGACTTTCTGTATGCTTCACTTTTATTTCCTAATTTTTGGATTGCATACACATGACTGAAACATAAAGATTTACTGACATGAAACCTATCATATAGAACTTGCATCCATATTGTTGCTTTCTAGTCCTATCCCATGATGTTGATGGTGCTCCATAATACTATCGGAAGCTGTTAAATGCCATGTACTATAGAGTGCCTTGGCCATGGCTGCACTAACTTACAATTACTCTTGCCCCTACATTGGCCCACTTGTTAGTGGCCAATGCACATGCAGTGCCCACAAATAACGACTGTAGTGTGCCTTCAGCGACCAACAACCAGTATTTTACGATGTATTATTCTACAAGCAAGTGAAGCTTTAGAGAGCAGCATGCAAGGAGATCTTGCTAGTAGTTGCCAACCACCTTTATTTAATAACAACCAATCACCTTTGTACTTGTATGAATAGGGGTTTAGCTCATCATTTGTAATTAGACAAGCTTAGGTCATTTTAATAGTGTATATTTCTGTTATCAGCAATACAACAAAATTTCCAGCATTCTCTTGTCTTCTTAGCTAATAGCTTCTTTGTTCTTGACTTAACCGAGTCAACAATTTGCTATAGGTCTATTTTGTCAATAATACTGAGCTTAGTACTCATTAGCAAAGCATAGCATTATAAGTGCTGCCTAGGTTAAGTGGGGTGTACCGTAGACTTGATCTAGGCCGACTGTGCAACGTTTACTCGTTTTGCCTTCCAGGGAAAATGTTAAGTTCAGCCATTCATCAAACATACAAAAACAACCTGTGGGACCGGCTTAGGCAGAAAGATCAAAGAAGCTAAAATCCAAGGCAAAAGAATGTGTGAAAATCTTGTGAGATTGCTGTCAATAGTAAGTACACAATTATACAAATAGGTTTCTATTAGTATATGTATACAGATGGTTGACATTATATGGGCAAAACACTTGCACCAGAGTTGCTGTTCCAAAAAAAAGAAGAAAGAACCAAAACGAAAACCTTGCATCATAGTTTGATTTCCTATCCAATTATTAATAGTTGATAATATTTGTCTCTTCTATTTCTCTATCTACCTTAATTCACAAGTTAGTGTTGTCAACTACATTTTGATCTTTTGAAAAATTAAGATCTGCTGTTCGGATATTGTGTGTCTGTCCTTTTTAAACTTCTGAGGATATATGGTGGAATGTTACCCCCCTGTTTTGAAGAAGACACTCCTTCTCATTTGTTCTCGAATGCTTTATGGTATTATTTGCTTTTCTTTTTCATTGAAGAGATGGAATGACACTTCTTCTTATCTTCTACAATTTAATAGCATTTTGAGCCTTCTCTTTTCCCTGATATACTCTCAGTCAGGCATCATCAGGCAAATTCACATGCAAATAAAGGCTGGGAGCAATTTACAGATGCTATCATCAAAACAATTTCTCAAAAGAAAGAAGGAGTTGTTTTCATTCTGTGGGGAAACTATGCCCAAGCAAAAGCCAGGTGATTCATTACAGGGCTGCAAATACTCTATTTAGTTTGTTAATATCTGATTGGGAATCCCGGCTTTATAATAGTTAGTCTGAAGACGACTTAGTTATTTTATGGGCATCACTTGTAACCTTTGCCCTTGTTGGAATTATACCTGCAAGCTAAGTGTTCAATAGGCGAAAGTACGAGGATAGGGGATGATGTGGTAACATTTTTTGAATGTCCAGTAGTAGATTTCTGGTTAAATTTCCTATGAATGAAATTCTCTGCTTTGCTTCCATCTTCAGCTTCTTGCTGATACTTTATGAGAGCCATTTCATTTGACTCTAGAAGTTTTATGACTTCTTAACTCAAGATTTGTTATCAAAACTACTGTTGCCAAGGATTTCTTTTATAAGTTTGCACTTTTTGTGTCGGACTTGTTATGTGTACTTAAAGTGATGGCATCTCAAATATTTCACTGAATATTTTTTCTCACCAGTATTTTCCCAAGTTTGAGTTTTTTATATTAAACATAGTATGCTATCTATAGTGAAAGCTGCATAAGGCACCCTACAGACAAGGTCCACCAGAATATCATTTGAACTAGTGTTCTTTTTTCAAGTCATTACTTTTTGAAGATAAAAGAAACATATTTTATTTGTAAAGTAAACTACTATATTTTTCTTCTTACATGCTCGTAATTTTGGAAAAATAGTTGGTCAGCCTTATTCTACTTGAGTTGCAGCAATTCTGTTTAATCTTTTTCTGAGAGCAACAGTTACCCCATCAACACAGGATTGTCAGACCTATTCGCTCCCTACAGTACTTTGTGATTTTTCGTTTCCTTCACTTAGAAATAAATAGCAATACCTGCAGCTAGTTACAGCGACATCCCAGTGAGTTATCCTTGGTACAACTTTAGATGCTAGATAGTGATTCTCCAATATTCTGAAGAGGTTAAAGTTTATGATTTAGGTAATTGCTTTGGATGTCTAATGAAAGATTCCATAAAAGATTTTTTATTTCTATAAAAAGATCAAATTTAACTGTAAAAACACTGGGAATGAGATTGCGTTATTCAGCTCTACTTTCTTGAAATTGATTCGATATTGTGCAGACGAGGTTCAAACAGGAACTATTCCTTTTCCCTCCCAATTAACCCTTTTGTTTTACAGGTTAGTTGATGAAACAAAGCACCATATTCTCAAATCAGCACACCCTTCTGGATTGTCTGCAAACAGAGGTTTCTTTGGATGCCGGTGTGTTCCCTTGACAACAGACTCATTTCAACTGAAATACTCTTAAGCATTTCGTGTTTTATAATTATAGTGCTGTAGTTATAGTATATGAGTTTAGTTGTTATATTGCATTAAATATATTATTTTCCCTATTTACTTTTATGGATTGTGTTATATAATACTCCCTCCATCATATTTTATGTGGCACATTTCCCTTATTAGTCCATCCCAAAAAGAAAGTCACCTTACTATAATGAGAAACAATTTAACTTTCAAATTTCCCTTTTACCCTTAATGAATTGATTTATATTCACTCAAATATCTAAGGATTGTTTTAGACCAAAAGTTTCAAAAGTCTTCCTTTTTTTCTTAAACACCGCGTCAAGTCAAACGGTGCCACATAAAATGGGACGGAGGGAGTAATAAATATGCTCATAGAAGGGGGAGGCATGCACAACATGACTGATGCATACGAGCAACCAATTAGCCTTTTTTATTTGTTTCAAGGGCCTGGTTTCCTCTGAAGTCACAAGTTCTCTGCTCAGGAACAAACGGGAGCCAGTATAACAATGAATTTGAAAACTAGGTTGTTTCCATTGTGAACCATGGATGTGTCTGCATCGTGATTGCCTTCTCCCATTTCCTCTCTTTCAATCGTTTTCTGTGTTGAGCAAGAAAAATAAAAAATTTCTGGATCAGCTTATGATCACAACTCTTCCAGTGTAAAATGATTATCTTTTTCTTGGTCTTGTTTTGGGGTGTCAAAATTATCCCATGTAAACATGACCCACCCAAATTTGGGTTGGTCATTGACCTGCCCATTTATTAGTTCAACTCATCAAAAATGGGTTGATACGTAGCCCAAATTGACACCTGAAAATTTTGTCACATATTTTTGAAAGGACATTTTTTATTTGATATGTCATATATAGTCATAATAAAGAAAAAAAAGGTTCTATTAGGTACTAAAAAAATTATATAACAACAAATAAAAAAATTAAAACGTAGTAAGAATTTGGCGGGAAGGGTTATGACCTTTTTAGCCCATTTCAGCCCAAACAACTTTAGGGCAGGTCAATAAACCAGCCATTTATTGACTCAACCCATTTTGACCCGCACAAATTCAGCCCAATCCACCCATTTGACACCTTTAATCTTGTTTGCATGGAGCAGGCTGCTCACATGATGCCCAGAAATAGTAGTGTGATTGGATGAAATTTCTTTTGCTAGAATGCAGTGGGATATGGTGTCACAGTGGTCAACATCCAGCCATTTACTTGTGCTTGAGTAGATGCCACCTTCTAACATGAGATTTCTGCAATTTTTTTAAATGACAGTGTTTTCTGTTTACATTATCACGTTTCATGCTTGAATTGACTAGGAAGTTAGTATTAAACTGTTTTTCTTGCCTTCAACTGGTGATTACTTGTGCAGGCATTTTTCACAGACAAACCAACTTTTGGAAAAGATGGGAATGCCTCCCATTGAATGGCAACTATAAGCTGCTTCTCAACCATCACTTTCGGAATGCTAGTGCTACAGGGATTTGCCATTAAGAAGTGATTCATCTAGGTATGTAGATTTCATTGCTTTACCAGGTTCACTTAAAAATAATTATCATCTGATATCTTCACGTACATAGTAGGCTAGTAGCTATGGCTGGCAACTGCTTGCTCACAATCCACCTTCTTGGCAGTGGATAATTGCTTGAGAACTGCAGCTTTGTAGCTCATTACTCTCGTTTTTCTCTTTTGGGATGAAGTAGCTAATTACTTCTTTCATAATCATCTCTCATTTAGTGCATGTTTTTGGTTGGCATCCGTTTAGCAATCTATCAAGTGATCTTATGTCTTTACCTAAAAAATAATGATCCTGTGAAGTGGAATAACGATTTGGCAATGCTTCTATTTTTGTGAAGGTTTATCCATAAGTTGAACAAGAAAAGCTTTATTTTTTAAGTTTGGTGTGGTGTTAGTAGTGACTATTTTAGTGATCTGCATGAGTCACACCGCATACATGTTCAGCACTGAGATCAAGGAAAATAGTGTGGATGTCCAGAATGTTTATTTTGGATATAGTGAAAATCTTATTGGGTTTCAAGACGTATAAATTGATGAAAGTTATCAAAACAATCATATAAAGGTAAACAAATCTTGTTTAATTTTCAAGGACTTTGTGTTTTTTTATATAGTAGGATTCATTCTTTTGCATCTGCTGCCTTATTAGGTTACTAAAACTTGCTGACTACTGAACAAAGAAGCTTAATTCATTGCTGCATCCTTCATTTCAGGGAGGTGTCTTGCGGCAAATGGAAATTTGGATAAGGTTTTGCTGCTTGTTCCTATTTGTCCATTCTCCTGTGAAGGGTTTTACTTGGCTTCCTGTTATTTTGTAATAGTATGCATATATACTACTGCTTTCTAGTTATTGGAACATATATCTTTAGTTATTGAAAACTTAAACTAGATCGTGATTTCTCATTCTATTGTAAAATGGATTCACTCGTACTCTTTTTCAACACCTTGATCCTTGTACTTACTTTTATATATTTGCATTTGAATTAACAATTAAACGTAAAATATGAATGTTTTCACCTTTCGTTTAATTTTCTGCTTTAGAGGTGTACTGGAATATGTCTCATTTTGTTTTGGTTAAAAATCAACTTGTCAAAAATTAAAAGAAGTTACTAATATTAGAAAAGTAGTGATCGAGTATGCAGGTAATCTTTACTGCTCGTCTTAGTTCGGTGTTTGTATTAACTTGTTTCTCTTTGGTGTTTGTTGTTCATATTATTACCTAGAATTGTTTGTTGTGATATGTTAAAAAATCTGATTCTTGTTCATATCGCGGTTTCAGATATATGTTCGAAACTTGACGTTGTATAGACTCTTTGGCATCATAAAAGTATGTTGTTTTATAATTTGTATTCCCTTCATGTATTAAGTTTTGAATAGGCTTTAGATTAGCTTGTGCGTTAGATTCAACAATTAAGGTTACTAGTTACGCAGATTAGCAGTTTGTTGCTTCTTAGATGTTTTATTTCCTTCAATAGTTGGAAGTCAAAGGTTTAAATTAGTAAGTTTTTTTTGATTTGTTTTGTTTTGTTTCTACCATTCCTCAACTTCAAAATCTTAACATGTTTTAGTTTCAGTAGAGTAGATATTATTCCCTTCTATCTAAATTCGATTAAGTTATGGAATTTTCTATTTTCCTCTGATTTATGCATAAGTAGTGAAAACTTGGAGATGTCTAGTACTTTGGTATAAATTGGTAGCATAAGTTGTTCACGCGGATGGTAGCTTATTTTCTAGTTAGATGCTTTGATTTGTCCCTATTTGGTCTGTGACATAATCTGAAATAAAAGGATCAAATTTTATGTTTTACCCTCCATCCCTCATAATAGGGTATACAAAATTAAATCGAAAATCAAATCAAACCACAAATTGAGTCAAATCAGGAAAAAAATTTGACTAATAGTTTGGTTTGAGTTGGGTTGGTATTGAAAAAGAATTCGTCTATACTTGGATTGGTTTGGTTTAAACTAAAAAGAGTGAACCTAAAATCAAACCAACCCCACATTATATATATAACTTTTAAAATTTATTTTATACGTAGAAGTATTTATTTTGATATAATTTTTAATATTTTTTATACTTTTTCATAAATGTTATCTTTTAACATATTATGTCAGTTTTTTGAGACTTAGAATTTTAAATGGTCCAATAAAAGTTATAGTGTATAGATGTTAGTAACTCTAATAAAGCTCAAATCAAAATCAAATCAATACTTATGCTAACAAAAAAATTTAATTCAACACTAAAAATGATAATAATGTTAAATATTTGTTTTTCAGTTTTACATTGATTTAGACATTTAAAATACATAACCTAATTTTAATTTTTCTTTTATGTTTAATCATGTAATTAATACTTATTAGACTTATTTTAGCATGGTTTAGTACTTTTAGATTATGATAATTTTCACTAGAGATAAACATAAAAAACACACCTAAACTATCTCATTTTTTGAGTTTCATACCTAAACTATTGGGAGTGTGAGTTTCGTACCTAAACTATTACTTATTAGTTTAAGAAACATACATCAGTAGTGTGTAATACACTATCTTTTATTTTTTCAAACCTTGCCACATGACATTCCACATCGATAAAATATTCTACCTTGGCAAAAATTAAATAATAAACTATTAGTATTAATTAAAGGTTAAAGTATTACTATCCCTAAAAAGAAAATTAAAAAAAAAATTACTTTTCTTACCCACTCTACCACCTCCTCCTCCCCCCCTCCGCCCCGCGACAATCTCTCCGTGCTTTTATTTTTTTAATTTCTTTTATAAAATATTTTTTTTTAAATTATACTTCACCTCCTCCCAACCCCCCCCCCCCCCCCCTTCCCAACCCCAAACCACCCACTATATTTTTAGGAAAATCTTTTTTTATTTTTGCGTACCGAATATAACATAAGTAAAAAAATTATTTATTTTAAAAAAATCTTGCGGCAAGTAAAAAACATTTTTTAAAAAATATATGTATATATCTAACACAAAATGGTATTTTTTTTTTATAAGTGCAGAGTTAAGTGTGGTGGAATTATTTTTAAAAAATATAATAATATCTTAATTATTATTTGAGGGGGGTACGATGAGAGAAAGTGATGGAGTGGGGTAAGAAAAATATTTTATATTTTATTTTATCAAAAAAATCTTATTTTTTTGGGATAATAGTTCTTTAGTATTTAATTTTAACTAATACTATTAATTTATTTAACTTTTGTCAAGATAGAATTTTTTGTCCATGTAGAGTGTGATGTGACAAACTTTTTTAAATAAAATGAGAGTGTAGAACACACATCATGAATCGAGCGTAATAAAAGAGAGAGATGCATTTGTCAAACTAATAAGTGATAGTTTAGATATGAAATTCACACTTCCTATAGTTTGGGTATGAAACTCAAAAAAAGGAGATAGTTTAGGTGTGTTTTCGACGCTTGTCTCTTTTCATAATGACTTATTCATTTGCAATATTTGTTTTATGCGATATCATTATTATTTTTTATTGAATATTTTAGTGTAATCACCATTTCATATTTTGTGTTATTTTCTTAAGAAACACCTTAGATAGAGGAAAGACACATTGATTAGACTTTCCTTACTCGAGGATTATGCAACACTAATGTCCAAAGCTTGGGAGTTTCGAGTTAAGAATCGGTATTATCCTTTGAGCTTCTTGAAGTGAGACCCATGGTTTAACCTATAAGTGGAAACAACCATTGCAATGGTCTGGATGTCTTTCCCTGAACTCTCGAGAAATTTGTTTGACAAAGAATTATTATTTTCTATGGCAGCTGCAGTTGGAAAGCCTTTGGTGATTGACAAATCCATGAATAACCAAACTAGACCTAGTTGTGTTAGAGTCAAGGTGGAAATTGACCCGTTAAAAGAGTTACCAAAAAGGATTCAGATAAACTGTGTAGATGAAGAGACATGCACAATAAGATCTAAATGGAAAACAATTCAATACGATTATCTGCACAAAATATTACACACACTATAGTCTTCAAGGACATGGTGTACAAGGATTGGGTGCTCCATCTAGAACATAGACCAAAGAAAGAGGAGAAACAAGAAGAAAAAAAGGCTATTGACAAAGGCAAAGCTAAAGAGGAGGAGACAAAATAAAAGCAAGAAGAAAACCTATCTAACACAAATAGAGTCTATAAGAACGGAAAGCTAATTCAACAAAACTAGAACGTCGTACAACACAAAAAAAAAAACAAAGGCAAACAATCTGTAAATAATCAAAAAGAGGATGACATTCAACAAGATCAAACTAATAAGGCATAGATATTAAAGGAGACAAAGCGATAGAAAATACCTAAAAATTTGAGCCCTTAGTAGATTTAACAGGTGAAAAGAAACAAGATGCAAAAAAGAAGGTGGAAAAACTCCAAGAAGATAACATAGTAGAAAAGAAACTTCTAAGCCATGGGTAGAAGCATCCTTTGGCAAAACACAAATTGGACAAAAGGAAACAAAACAAAAAGAAAAAGTAATAGTAGCAAAGATAGAAGATAACAAAAAGTAAAAAACTCAACTACCGAATGATGACAGGTCTTGGGGTTGTTATATATATATATAATATTTATTTATTTTTTATTTTCCTTCTTCTATTTTGATATTGTTCCCCGTTCCCATTATGTTTCCTTCCTTGTGATAGCTCGTTACTGCTAGTTCCAGGCTATGAGTTGACTTACCTACTGATGGAATGTAGTAGTTGTCATCATGAAATGAGAAATGTCATGACAGATTGATATCAGAGCTCTAGATTTGTCGGTATCATTGATATGAGAGCAAGTGCTTAATAGAGTTTTGTGGATCGGTGCAGAGATATTTGTGTCTTATCTTAAGAGGGCTATGATGCATTATTAGAAAATTCCATTATTGAATTCCAATGAAGGTGGAGTGGTGGTGATGAATGAGGCTAAGTCATCACTAGGGTCCGAAGTGAAAGAGAAACGTTTTTCTTGAATTGAAGGCGAATGTTCATAAGTAGAAAGTGATGACTTTTAAACAAGGGGGAGATAGTGTATTGAGGTATAAAGGTAGATTGTGTGTACCAAATGTGGATGAACTCCAAGAGAGGATCATGGAGGAAGCTCATAGCTCCAGATATTCGATCCATCCTGGTTCAACAAAGATGTATTGTGACTTGAGAGAAGTCTATTGGTGGAGTATTATGAAGATGTGTATTGCAAAGTTTATTGCTAAGTGCCCCAATTGCTAACAAGTCAAGGTAGAGCACCAGAGGCTCGGTGGTATTTCTCAGAACATAGATCTTCCATAATGA